GATGTTTTAAATTTACCTGACTTTATTTATATTTGTACCATGACATTTTTTATTTTAATTAATTATTCACTTTATTATTAGGAAAAATTGAGGGAGAAAAGGGCAGAGTATCATGCTACTGCTTCGAGTCAAGGTATTGTTAATGATGATGACATTGAAAACCAAGCTATTAATGACGTTTTGGGTCCTGAAAGATATGGTCGGGTGCGCTGTCAAGGATCATTCGTTACTCCCACCAAATATTTTGGATCCAGTTCATCACAGTACATGTCATCACAGTCTCGATCTTCCCAATTAGAAGTTGGTCGTTTAAAAGAAAAGTTGGCTGAGATGGATCAACAAATGGCTAACTTGAAAGCGGAAAATGAAGCAAGGGAAACAGAGAGAGCAGCAGCGGAAGCAGCTAGAGCAGCAGCGGAAGCAGCTAGAGCAGCAGCGGAAGCAGAGAGAGAAGCAGCGGCAGCACAGAGAGAGGCAGCGACAGAACAGAGAGAAGTAATATATCAGCAGAGATGTAAAGAATTTGAAAAACGACTCAATGATATGATGCTGATGATACAAAAAACGCAACCTCAGAATCCACCATCGTAGCCTCATTTATGTTATGAGCATTATGTTAATGTTACTGAACCGTGTTAACTTAACCTATATTACGTTAATGAAAACTTTTATTTATATTGGATTTGATGTTATTGCTGTTTTGTTTGTTAGATATGGAACAGGTTGAAAAACAGATTTGGGGTATTAAGTATAATTTTTAGAATTGTTAAATTCTGTGTTATTTAGCGGCGTTTGTAACAAAATGTTGCAATATACCATACATTTAGCGGCGTTTTTTATAAAAAAGCCGCAAAATCTCAATACATATTCTGCGGCGTTTTTAGGAAAATGCCGGTAAAAATAAAAATTTACTGCGGCGTTTTTGAAGAAAACGCCGCTAAACATCAACGACTAATGCGGCGTTTGTCTGCCAAATGCCGTTAAATATCAAAACCTATTGCGGCGTTTTAATGATAAACGCCGCTAAATATTAATACCTTTTGCGGCGTTTGTTGAACAATCGCCGCTATATGTTGTAACCTATTGCGGCGTTTTTTTGTTGAAAAACGTCGCAAACTTTAGCGGCGCTATTTTTAGCGGCGTTTTTTTTTACGCCGTATGTGTTTTTAGCGGCGTTTAAAAACGCCGCTAGAAATAAAAAAAATGCCGCAATAAGCCACTTTTGCTGTAGTGTATGTTGCATGTAATCACATAGATCGTATCATATAGCTTCTTTCACATATACATGTAATCACTTAGTCTATTTTCATGTAATTCTTTTCACTTCTCATATGATTTTATATTCATATCTCACATAGCTCATATCACCTTGCATTGTTTCATATAAACATAGATGTCATATCTTGTTCGCATATATTTTCTATATAACTCATATATCTCATAGTTCTTTCACATAGCTCACTATCATATTTTCATATCATATATCTTATAATAGATTTTTATATCATCATTTGTTTCCTTTCTACCTATTCATAATCACATAACATATACAAAGCATATAATTATCTTTAGTCATGCATACATACAATCAATGTAATACAGATAATCACATAACATATACAAAGCATATAATTATCTTTAGTCATGCATACATACAATCAATGTAATACAGATAATCACATATAATTATAACAACACATAATCATGTCCATGACTTCATGCATATTACTCTAGGAAATAGACTCATCGCAAATCTTATTTTCATTAAACACTACATATCACTAGTATGCACTCACCTTGGTCTCACTAGTCAATTCCAATCTCTTATCTTTCCCTTGATCGATCTTACTTGTCAAATGTTCCGGAATTGCTTTACGCGCAGAATCTACATAAATGTACATTTTGAGGCAATCATTAGATACCTACACATTGTAATTGGATACTAGCAACTTAAACAAACTTATTAAACCAATATTCACATTTTTCCTTTAGGGGGTATCGATTCCCTACTGGGGGTATCGATACCCTCATGACATTCTGGAATTCTGTCGTTTGAGAGGGTATCGGTACCCCTTTGAATGGGTATCGATTCCTCCTAACCCATAAATCATTTTTCAGCACGAAAATTACTTCATTTCCTCTCAAACACTTCATATACCATCCCCTTTTTCATTCTTAACTCTAGTACACATACTTAAACCAATCTATATTCATTTATTTCATCTTAAACCTCAAAATCCTATCTTCCATATGTAATTCAATAATTACATCAATTTTGCAATATGTTTCAAATCCAATTCTATTACTTCATATCTCTTACTTAGATTGATAACAAGTCAAATCCAACTTTCAATTCTTGTTATGAACTCTATTCCCATATTTCATTCAAGAACCTCAAATCTTTAATCTTCTCTATCTCCTTTATCTTTTGATCTTAAGATAACTTAAGCTTTCCTTAAGCTTAGTTATCATCTAATGATCAAAACCCAATCTTAAACTTAACAAATAATTAACTAAGTAGAAGACTCACCTTTGAGCTTGGAGATACGGGAGGAGAGGAAGAAGAAGAAGAAAAGAGAGTTTCTGGAGAAATCTCTCAATCTTATCCCATATATATCATTATCTTATATTTCCAAGTCAAATTACCACTTTGCCCTTAAAATCCTTTAATAATTACTAACAATTTTTAGGATTTATTTTCAGATAAATCATTGAACTAATTCATTCTTCTACTTTAATCACCAAATTCTGAAACTTTACAATTAAGTCACTAACCCATAGTTTGGGATGTTACAGATATGGTGTTACTTATATATTCTTTCAATTTGGTCCTCGTATAAATTAAAATAGTAACACATATAATCATTCAATTAGATAATCATTCAATTAGATGATTAAATTTATTTAAATTTATTTTTAATTTAAAGATTTACTTTCCTCCAAAACAATCAATTAGATGATTAAATTCATTTTAATTTATTTTTAATTTAAAGATTTACTTACCTCTAATTTATTTTTAATTTAAAGATTTACTTACCTCTAAAACTTATAAGGGGAAGCTAAGATTTGAACCCAAGACACTTGGGAGTAATGGAAAGAACCAAACCATTGAACTAAGGCATTCATTTGAATATCTTTGTACAACAAATGACATATATCTTTTAGCTTAGTAATTTTTCTTTAGACAACAAATAATATAATTAATAAATAAAAATTAAGAATATTTTTACATTAAAAAAAATATGAATATATAAAATATATTAAAATTATATGAATATAATATTAATATATATTTTAAAAAATATATTAACTTAAAATATTTTATTATTATACGAATATAATACAAATACATATTTTTTAAAATATATTAACTTAAAAAAACAAATTATAAAAATATATTTTTAATACAAATATATATTTAAATATATTAAATTACAAATACAAATTATATAAAATATATTTTTAATACGAATATATATTTTTTAAATATATTGACTTAAAATATTTTATTATTATACTAATATAATATGAATATATATATTTGAAAATATATTAACATAAAAATACAAATTATATAAAATATATTAACTTAAAAATTTTATTATTATAAGAAAATAATACAAATATATTTTTTAAATATATTATTTAAAAATACAAATGATATAAAATATATTTTTAATACAAATATAATACAAATTTTTTAAAATATATTAATTTAAATATTTTATTATTATTTTAATATGTTTTATATATTCGTATTTTTTGTTAATGTAAAAAATATTCTTAATTTTTATTTATTAATTATATTATTTATTGTATAAAGACACTAAACGGATGTCTTAACCTAATTGTTTAATTCTTTTTATTCTATCGAGGTGATATGTGTCATCCTCAACCTCTTGTTAGAGGAAAATAAATCTTTAAATTAAAATAAATTTAGTCATTCAAACGAAAAATGACACATGTCATTATTTTAATTTATTAAAATAAAACACATTTAAAAGAATATATAAATAACATGAAATAATTATGTAATTATACAAAAATATCTATTTTGTTAATTATTAATTACATGTTACTTAATTAAAATATTTAAATAATTAAATTGTCTATTTAATAAAATTAAAATAATGATGGCTAAAATAATTTAAATAGTTGGATGGACACTTTTTTTTTACTTGATGACAATCTGTATTCATTATTACATCCAATTTTATTTTTTAATAAACCAAAAAGAAATAATAATAATAATAATAATTCAAAGCATAGATGGGTCCTGGATCGTGATGCCCCTAGCTGACTGGCAGCTGGGTTTACCACAGATGAGGAGACCCAGACAATTAGTCTCCATCACACGAGCCCATTAATCCAACGGCATAAACATGGCCACATGGCACATAAATATGGAATCGTGCATATTTTATTTTAATTTATTTTGTTATCCTCCCGATTTAAAATTTTATCTTAAGTAATCCAGATCGACTCGTGTCACATTTAACTTTAGTGGGTGAGTCTCTCAAGAGTAATTTTTTACATAAACAAAAACTCTAACTTGATATATTACACAAGTGATATCAAGTTAATTATCACTTAAATAAACCTATGTTGCTTTATTTTAATTTAATAATTGGTTGAATTAAAAATTAATAATTGATATATTTTATTGAAAACTAATTAATTATTTTTGTAAAATAATCATCAGTTAATTAAATTAATCAAAGTTATAATATATTTTAAATTATAAACCTCAACTCCAGTAATGGCTCAGAATTATAGCAAACTATTGTGGTTGAACCAAAATCAATGATTTAATTATACTCAACCTGCCAGAAAATGACAAAACTCACTAAACATCTGATTCCTTCTTCTCTGTAACGTCCGACTCTTTCACGTCCCGATCCAGTGAATTTCTCTTTCAAACTTTCTCTTCGTGAAAAATCTTAGTACAGCCTATACCCTATAGTTCTATAACCTGCTGTCACAAACTCTGTATGCCTACGTCGGCTTTCTCTCTTTCTCTCATAAGTTTTCTGTCCATATCCCCCGCTCTATTTATAATCATCCACGGCTCTTTTCCATTGTCTGCTTATTTCCAGTTAAACAAAGACGAATGCCTGGCGATAGTTATTATGGCTGCTCAAACACAGTTTTGTTATGAAAATCCGGGTTCACCTTTGCCTATTCTTCCTTCATCTGAAACTGGTTTCTGTCTCCAAGAGCTTCCTTTTCAACAAAACGCTTCCATGGCAGTTTCTCAACCATTAGATGTTCAACTGGAGATTCAAAGGCGGGAACTTGATTTCTTTCTTCAGTTGCATGTAAGAAATTAATCCATCATTTATGTCAAGTTGTCAACTGAATCATATAGTTTTATTGAAAATCCTCTTTTCTCCTGTTTTAAAACTCAGAATGAGAGGTTAAGCAGCCTGCTTCAGAGTATCGAAACAAAGGCCTTGTATTTGATGCGGCAAAGAGAGGAAGACTTGGCACGAGCAAGAAAGAAAAGAATGGAGGTTGAAGAACGCTTGAGAAGAGTGGAAATGGAAAACCGGTCATGGCAAAGACTGGCAGAAGCCAATGAATCAATGGTTATGGATCTAAGCAAAAGACTAGCTATGGAAAGGTGTTCAGCTGAAGATGAAGGATCCATTTTTCGTGGCTCGTGCAACAAAGACCAACAACAAGAAGAAAGAGACAATAAGATGGCTTGTAAACACTGCAACTCCAGGGGCTCATGCGTTGTCTTTTTACCTTGCAGACATCTTTGCTCGTGCATATCTTGCGAACCGTTGCTCGTTTCTTGTCATGTCTGTAAATCTGTAAAGGAGGGGAGCATTAGGGCTTTTTGGGTTTAACAAAGGAAAAAGAAACTCGTTCATACTTGAACTGTGATCGTGTGTTTTCGTTTCTAGTTACCTTTTTCTGGGTTAACTACTATTTTTTCCTAATTTGGATTTCTCCCAAAAAGAAAAAAGAAACAGTGTTTTAAAAGCTTAGATTTCTTTCATGAGATAGATTTCGATTCACGAGGAATGGATGACAGTCTGTTTAGGTTTAACAGTACTGTTTTTGTTCAACTGGAACTTTCCCAGCGTCACCATTAATTGTTTCCATTTTTTTTTGTTTCATCCAATGTATGATCCTGATCCATTGAAATGACAGGATCTGTACGAAGAGTGGCAAAATGAAAGCTTGGGAAAGTCCTTGAATCTGAAGTTATGGTTAAATCTCTTCATCTTATCGTTTGTTTTCTTGTATGGGGCATCAGAAAACGAGATGGGATATTGTTTTTCCTGAGTCTCCAAACAAAAGCAGCCCACGAAAGTTGACAAACCAGGTTTCCTTTCTGTCTTTAAAATAAATCCCTCCCGTTGCGTTTCTCAGCCCTTTTGCCTTAGCATTGTTGTATTTGACTATTCTCCAGCAGTGGACCAGCTTTTGTACGAGTGGATATATACGTGAACAGATACAATTAACTTTTCCTGATGTCATCTGGGTCCCACCGTGGTGTTCGATGTGATTCCGTAGAAGCTTAGGGATGACAATTAGGCTGGGTGTGTGCGCGCGTGTGTGGGTGGATGGGGTTGGATTGTGTGTGTATATATATATATATAAAATAAAATATTTTTTAAAAATATTAATAAAAATATAAAAGAGTTAAAAAAATCAATAAAAAAATTATAAAATGTAAACAAAAGGTTAGGAGATTATTTTTTTAAAAAAAGGAAATTTTTGTCGTTAAAATAGAAATTAAAGTTCATAGATATTTTGTTGTTTCAAACGAGGATAACAATCATGATTATGTAAAGAAAATCTTCACAATTTCGTCACATAAATCAATTCGATTAACTTTGATCGAATTGCTGCCTCAACATAACGTCTCAACCGTTGAGAGAAATCGATGAAAGAAAGAGCCGTGTTCTCCCCCCCCCCCCCGGCCGCAACTTGTAAGCCCTGTGCTACCGATTGGCATGAAGAACTTAGGGCCACTAAAAAAGAAACCGACAAGAAGATCATAGACTCATCAATGAACCTGAAGATGTAAATCCCGATACAATAGAAAATTCTAACCACATCCAGAGAGACGAAGATTTAACAAGAAACACAGGTTGAAATTCATGCAAAAGAAACCCTAAGCAACAAGCAAGTTACGTACGCAGCAATAGTAGTTGGGAATCAAGTAAACCCACATATGTTAAAACCCATCAAAGAAGAAATCATGCACGTTCCAGGAGGGAGACACGTCTATAGATAACAACGGTGCCTTCCCGAGAATTAAATTCTCGAACAGAATACATGAAATCATATATAGAAACACGAGTAACATGATCATTATCCATCTACTGGGAGGAAGAATTGGATGCAGAGCCCTGTTAAACCGTCTGCAAACCATGTGGCAGCCCCTTGCAGAATCCAACTGGTAATCTAGATAATGATTATTATCTGGTGAGACTCGAACGCGAATCAGATTATATTAAAGCACTTTCGGAAGGACCCTGGATAATCTACGGAAACTACCTGACCGTACAACCATGGAGAATGGATTTCTCAAAATATAAACAACACTCATCGCAAATCGTCACATGGGTACGGCTTCCAGGATTACCTTATAAGTACTACACAAAGAAGCTACTCCAAACTATCGCAAATACCATTGGAAAAGTCATTAAAGTGGACTACAACACCAATGCTGGTAAAAGAGGTGTTTGCAAGAATGAAAGTTGTGATTGATCTCAACAAACCGCTTATTCCATGTTTGGGTATAGATAACTTCATCCAGAAAGTGGAATATGAGGGCCTCCAATTGATATGCTTCAAACGTGGAATCTACGATTACACAAAGGAGACGTGCAACCGAAACAAAAAAACGACAGAGCAACACAGAGAAACGAACGTTGCACAGACTAAACATGAGGAGATAAACGATAAAACAAAAGAAGATGACCTATTCGGTCCATGGATGGTAATGAAAGCAAAACCTAGAAGACCTAGGAAAATAATTGAACAACAAACCGAGACCACAAGAAAAGTAAGAGATAAATGATAATCCATATTCACATCTTTACTTGAGGTCAAAGATCAAGTGGATGAAAGGAAACAAACCATAAATGTTGCCAACACTGGCTAAACTCATAGTAAGAACCCTACACCTAGAGCTCCATTTTATAAAACCCCAACTAGATCACGATTGAATGGAAAGAATGTAGCAAAAGGAAAAGAAAGTGAAGTTGGAACAAGCACCCATTACACTCAGGCTAATAAAAAAATTAACGCAGATCAAAGTGGAGAGTTACTGGATGTACCAATTATGGAATGAAGTTTTAAAGAAAGAACCTAAGCCTCGAGCTCACAATACATGGAAACCACCCAAGTAGTAATTGAGATAGAAAACAAAACACAAGAAATTATGACTGCTATAAAGAAGGGCAACCACAAAGCAATAGTAATCAATGACGAGGCACTATCCCAAAAAGAAAGACAAAAAATCCAAAGAGGACAGAAATATAAAGCCAATTTCCAGAAGATCCAAAGGAAAGAGCTACAAGTTAGAAGAGTCAAGGAGTATAGACCCCCAAACCCCCACTTTTATCCGAATGGATAAAGACCGTATCCCCACAAATTGAAAGAATAATACAACCAAATGACATACCTAGCAGAGAAAGGCTGGAAACAGACCTAGTAATAGCACCAACAGTTATGGAAATATCAAGGAATGAATGGTGGACAAAACGGACCAAGAGAAAACTATTGACATTACGTCACAGTAGAACCACATAACTTTGCCACAATAGACATAATGTTTTGGATCGTTCAGGGGGTAGGCATTCATAAGACAGTTCAAAGATTTCATGAGAATCCACAAACCAAAGATAGTGGCTTTATTTGAAACTCGAACCGGAATAAAGCAAACAAGTTTATTTTCTCTACAAACCTAAATAACTCGTTGAGTAGAAGCGCAAAGATTTAGTAGGGGAATATAGCTTCTATGGAATGATTCAACCGAGGTAGAAATTCTTAAATACCCCACCCAATTTATTCATGGTAAATGTTGATAAAGGGTAACTGGAAAAGAGAAATAGAAAATTCTTAATCGTGTTTTTACTTGAAGTATATATTGCTTTATACAATGTTTTGGAGTAAGTTTTGTATTAGAAATAAACTACCTAGTAGTTATTCTTATCTAACTTTCTAAGAATTAGTATTATGTTAAACTACTAACTAGTACAAGTTAGACTTTTCGCAAAACCTACACTCCCCCTCAAGTTTGGGACTAAATATTGAAAATACCCAACTTGAATGTAATCTCATCAAAGGTAATTCTTGAAAGTGTCTTGGTGGGAATATTTGCAAACTGATTCTTCGTAGAAACATTGTTTAACTTTATCGACCCACCATTCATTTTTTCAGAGATAAAGAATGTATCGATCTCCACATGCTTCGTTCGGTCATGATGAACTAGATTCTTTGCAATACTTATTGCAGATTTACTATCACTGTGAAGTTCAAAATGATTGTTGTTACATGACCTTAGCTCAGTTAACAGACTTTGTAACCAAATTCCTTCACAAATTTCAAGTGTCATTGCTATAAAATCTGCTTTTGCACTACATTGAGACACCCAACTTGTTTTTTACTTCTCCAAGTAACCAGATTTCCCCAAACAAATAAGCAATAACCAATTGTAGATCTCTTATCCGTTAATTCGTCAACTTTGCTTGAATCCAGAAAAATCTTTACTATTTTATCTTCATTTTTTCTAAAAATTAACCCATGTCTATGTGTCATTTTTAAGTATCTTAGAATTATATTCATACCCTCTAAATGTTCTTCCCTCAGATGATTCATATATTGACTCACTAGACTGACAAGAAACACAATATCAAGTCTAGTAAGTGATAAATAAATTAGTTTACCTACTAGCCTTTGATATTGTTCTTTGTTCATGGGACTTCACAATTCTTCTCTCCTTAGCATAAGATTTGCTTCCATGTGTGTTTCTTTCGGCTTGCATCCCTTCATTCTAGTTTTTGATAATAAATCAATGATATATTTCCGTTGATTAATTATTATTCATTCTTTCAACCTTGCAACCTCCGTGCCTAAGAAATACCGTAAAGTACCCAATTATTTGGTTTCGAGTTCCCTTATCAATAGCTTTTTTAGTTTTTCTATCTCCGTAGAATCATTATATGTTAGAATGATATCAACCACATAGATAATCAAAAATTGTATTTTTCTTGTTTGAAGTTTATTTGACAAACAAAGTGTGATCCGATTGACATTGCTTGTAACCATCTTGAATAATCACCTTTACAAATCTATCGAACCGGGCTCTTGGAGATTGATTAAGTCCATTCAATGACTTTAATAACCTATACATTTCTTGTATCACTTTTCACACCTAGTAGAATTCATATATTTACTTTATTCACCAAGTTTTCGTTTAGAAATTTATTTTTGATGTTCAACTGATGAAAAACCCAGTTCTCATTCACCGACGACGATAATAACACTATCACAATGTTCAGTTTTGCTACAAGGGCAAATATTTCTTGATAATCAACTCCAAAGGACTGAGTAAATCTTTTCTCCACTAATCTTGTCTTGTATCTTTTAATACTACCATCAGCTTTGTATTTCACCATGAATACCCATTTACAACCGACTGGTTTCTTAACTTTCAGAAGATCAACTATAACCCAAGTGTTGTTTTCCAGTGCCATCAATTCTTATTCTATTGCCTTTTTCCACTAAGGATCTTTCAATGCTTCTTCCACCGTATTTGGAACAGTAATGTCGTCTATGTTTGCTGTGAAATTCTTAAAGCAAGGCATTAGCTTTAGTAAATGAATATTTGGATTTACCCGAATAGACCCATGATTGACAACATAAAAAAGATAACCATATGCTGTTCGGATATGAGAGATAGACGATTCGACATGAAAAGTATAAAAGAGCATAAGATCACTTGTCCTATGGTCACTCGCACCAGAATCCACAATTCAAGTAAGAGTGTCGGATTTGTTAGTAAAAGAAATTCTACTTTAAAGAGAGAAAGTCGCAGGTCCAGATTTGGAAGGAGTATTTAACTGATTAAAAATTGTTGTAATTATTCCATTTGTTTTTAGTAAATGAAATCCCCTGCAAACCAATTTTCACAACACAATTTCCTTGAGCATCATATTGTTGATGCTATTTTGAATACTTTTTATCATTAGATTCGCCATGTAACTTCCAACAAGAATCATGTACATGGCCAACCTTCTTACAGTATTTACACCAAGGTCTCCCATTCTTCGGTCGAGTAATAGTCTAGGAGTGAGTGAGCAATGTAGTGCCTTCATCTGGCTGCAAATCAGAAAGCATAAATGTGTGTTGACTTTCTTCGTGTCGCACTTCAGAGAAAACTTCCTTGATTGAAGGAAGAGATTTGAGTCTCAATACTCATCCTCGAACTTCATTAAGATCCCAATGCAAGCTAGACAAAAACTAGAATATCTTACGTTGTTAAAAAATCTTCTTGAATAAACATGCATCATCTACACACCTCAATT